GTCATTTATGAGGAAACAGATCCTCTACCAAACACCAAATCTACTAGCACCTTAATGTTGGGCTTCCCAGACTCCAGTCCCATTAGAAATAAATTTCCGTTGCTTATAAACTGTTTTAGCTATTTGTTATTACACCCCAAATATACTAAAACACTAGGTATGATTATTTCATGTATTTACTAATAGGAGAAGTATGTAACAGTAATTCATTTTGCTTTTAAATCACTTTACCATAGTGAGGTTTATTGCTTTTTTATACAATTAATGCCTACTGTGTTTCCATTTTTGTGAAATATCAGTTCATATCTTTTACTCATTTTTTTATTGGGTTGCTGTTTGAATTTTCTTTTTAATTCCTAGGACTTCTTTCTATATTCTAATACTGATTCTTAATCTGTCTCTGTATTGCAAATATCTCTTTCCACTTTGGGTCTTTGTCTTTCCTCTTTCTTTATAGAATCTTTTGATAAACAGAAATTCCTTTTACTCTTGTTGAATTATTCAATATTTTCCTAACTGTACACTTTTTTCTTGCTTTAAGAAATCTTTCTTGGAGCACCTGGTTGGCTCAGATGGTGGAGTAATGGACTCTTGATTTTGACTCAGGTCATGATCTCACAGTTCATGGGTTTGAGCCCCATGTCAGGCTCCTCACTGACAGTGCTGGATCCTGCTTGCGATTCTCTCTCTCCATCTCTCTCTGCCCTTCCCCTGCTTACACTCATGTACCTGCTCTCTCTCTCTCAAAATAAATCAACTTAAGAAAAAAGTCTTTCTTAGAGAGACATGCAAGATGGTGGAATAGGACTTCCTTACCATCATCTTCCCACAGAACTTCAATTTTGCTAGTCACCCACAGATGAGAGTACTCTGTGGGAGTTGGAGGTCCATCAGAGAATTACAGCATATGATCGGAGAAAACAAAATCCAAGCATAAACACGTTAAAGGAAATATGAGGAGCTCTTTCATTTTGCCCATGTCACCCCTCACCCTAGGTGGCACAGTTTGGTGCCAGGAGAGCCCCTCAGCCCATGATTTCTCCCACAAGGGGAAGTGAGTGTCCATGATTGAACTCTGACTTCCCCACCTGTGCAGGAAAAGGGCCACCTCTTCCTCACCTAGTCATAAAGATGTTCTGTTGTGTGAATACATGCACATAGTGGGCACAGTAAGTTTCCTTTAATGTCTCTTAGTTTTTTTAATAAAAGTTTGCACATCTTTTATTTGACTTATTTCTATATGTGCTATTTTTATAATGCTAAATATCCTTTTAATTGATCTTTAAACTCTAATGATATTTTTAGATAGTAATCTTACATCTAAGAACATTGCTAAATAAGCATTATTTCTAATAATTTAACTGTGTGTCACTTTGGTTTTACTAGGACAAAAATCATGATAGTTTTGTTTCTTTACAATCATTTTGTATTTTATTTTTCTCTGATGCACAACTTAGAATGTCAAGAGCAATGATAAATTAGTGATAGTAGTCAACTGTTGCATTCCTCATTTTGAAAGGAATGACTAGGACATTTAATTAAATATTATGTTTACCAGATTATTGGAAGTTGCACTTGTCAGCCTAAGAAATGTGCCTTCTCTTCCTATTTTCAGGAGTTTTTATTTATTTGTGAATCATTTATTTCTTTGAATTATGAATGTGATCAAATATTTTGATATAAATGTTGATAAGAACATTTTCCTCATTCATCTGCTACTATGTCATCAGATGTTAAATCAATTTTGTATACCTGGGATATATGAAGATTGTGATACCTTACCTTTGTTAATACATTGTTGGATTTAATGTGTTAATATTGCATTTATGACTCTGAACATATTTTAATTCATGGAATTTGCCTATTATCATTCTTTCTTTAATTTCCTTTGGAGTTGGTGTTATCATTAGACTGGGCTATAGAATGTGTTGAAAGTATGTTCCTTTTTTTTATGTTTCAGAAGAATTTACATAAGATATGTGTTCCTTGGATACTCCATAGCTTTTGCTTATAAACTATCTTGACCCTTGTATTTTCCTTGTGAGAAGACTTTAAATTATTAATTCATTTGTTAATGGTTACAGATCCATTAAGGTTTTCTATTTCTTCTTGAATAAATTTTATGTTACAGTTTTCTTTTTTTTTCTTTTAAAACCTTTTTTTTTTAATGTTTTATTTATTTCTAGGAGAGAGAGAGAGACAGCGTGAGCAGGGGAGGGTCAGAGAGAGAGGGAGTCACAGACTGAAACAGGCTCCAGGCTCTGAGCTGGCAGTCAGCACAGAGCCCGACGCGGGGCTCGAACCCACGAACCGCGAGATCATGACCTAAGCGAAAGTCGGACGCTTAACCGACTAAGCCACCCAGGCGCCCCTATGTTACAGTTTTCTAATATTTGTCTATTTTGTCTAAATTTTTAAGTTCTTGGCATAAAGTTTTGCAGAGTTATTATCTTTTATTTCTGTTTTGTCTCTCTAGTGATATCACTTTTTTTATTTCTCATATTCTCACATTGCTTATCTGGGCCTTTTTTTTTTTCTTATACATCAATTATGTCAGGGTTGGACGATTTTTTTTTTTCTTACTAAAGAAGCAATTTTTGCTTTTATTAATTCTAACATCTGTTTGTTTCTATTTCATTGATTTATACTCTTCTCTTTGTTATGCACTAGCCTCTATTTCATTTATTTTTTTTTCAGTGTTCAATTTATTTATTTTTTTTTCAAATAGTTTATTGTCAAATTAGTTTCCACATAACACCCAGTGCTCATCCCCACAAGTGCCCTCCTCCATGCCCATCCCTCCTCTCCCCCACATCCATCAGTCCTCAGTTTTTGTCAGCATTCAAGAGTCTCTCATGGTTTGCCTCTCTCCCTTTCCCCCACCATTTCCCCCCTTCTTCTCCCGGTTGGTCCTCTGTTAAGTTCCTCCTAGTCCTCCTATACGTGCAAACTACACGCCCGAAAAACAAACAACCCAGTGAAGAAATGGGCAGAAGATATGAATAGACACTTCTCCAAAGAGGACATCCAGATGGCCAACAGACACATGAAATGATGCTCAGCATCCCTCCTCATCAGGGAAATACAAATCAAAACCACACTGAGATACCACCTCACGCCAGTCAGAGTGGCTAAAATGAGCCAATCAGAGAACTCTAGATGCTGGCGAGGATGTGGAGAAACGGGCACCCTCCTACACTGTTGGTGGGAATGTAAACGGGTACAGCCCCTCTGGAAAACAGTGTGGAGCTTCCTCAGGAAACTAACATAGAACTCCCCTATGACCCAGCAATAGCACTGCTAGGAATTTACCCAAGGGATACAGAAATGCTGAGGCATAGGAGCACATGTACCCCAATGTTCATAGCAGCACTCTCCACAATAGCTAAAACATGGAAAGAGCCTAAGTGTCCATCAACAGATGAATGGATCAAGAAGATGTGGTTTATCTATACCATGGAATACTACATGGCAATGAGAAAGAATGAAATCTGGCCATGTGTAGCAACATGGATGGACCTTGAGGGTGTTATGCTGAGCGAAATAAGTCAGGCAGAGAAGGACAAATATCATATGTGTGCCTCTATTTCATTTAAATTTGTCCTCTTGTTCCTTTTGTAGCTTCTGTTGTGGATGCTTAGCTTATGATTTGAGACCTTTATTTTCTTCTCATAGTAGGTTTAAGTCTGTAAGTTTGGCTCTAAGCACTACTTAAATTGATTCTACAAGGCTGAGAAGTACTCTTAAAATTATTATTTTCATTATTCTAAATATGTTCTGATTCCTTTCTAATATTATCTTTGGCCTGAGTTGTTCAACACTCAGAATCATGATGTGTATAATACTGACTCATTGAAATTTATTGAGGTTTACTTGCTCTATGGCCAACAAACTTTTTATTTCTATAATACAGGTCCTTTGATATTTATTGAGACTTAATTATGGTCTTAAATGTGATTGATTTCCAAAAATTTTTTTGTGGTTTTGAAAAATATGTCTATTCTCCAACAGAAAAATACATTGTCTACTACATGACGCTTTTTCATTGTGTTATTCAAATGTTCCATATAATTGCTGACTCATTTATCAAAAACTGAGAGTGTTGTATTAAAACATCCCATTACCATTCTGGATATTTCTGTTTCTTCCTGTGATTTTGTCAATTTTTTTACTTTATTTATTTTTAATCTCTACTGCTATATTCTCGAGGTATTGTGTTCTCTTGACAGATTTAAACTTTGTTAATATACAATGATATTCCTTATCTCATGTGATAAAGAGCTTTATGTCTAAAGATCTACATTGTGACACCATGATATTAGTTAGAACCATATGAAATTGCCAATTTTGTATATCAAATTGCAATTTCGCATTTCAGTCTAATAGCATTGGAAGTTTTGTTGTTATTATGTGTTATGTGTGGTTAAGTATGTCTCTTTTAAATAGACTGAAGCTTGACTTTAAAAAAAAATGTAGTCTGATAATCTACGACAGTTTTAATGTTTCTCAGTGTACTTAGTATACTTGGATTTCTTTATTTTTTTTTAAATAGTTTATTGTCAAGTTGGTTTCCATATAACACCCAGTGCTCATTCCCACAAGTGTTCTCCTCCATGCCCATCACCCCCCTTCCCCTCCCCCACACCCCCATCAGCCCTCAGTTTGTTCTCAGCATTCAAGAGTCTCTCATGGTTTGCCTCCCTCCCTCTCCCCCACTATTTTTCCCCTTCTTCTTCCCCATGGTCCTCCATTAAGTTCCTTCTAATCCTCCTATATGTGCAAACATATGGTATCTGTCCCTCTCTGCCTGACTTACTTCGCTCAGCATAACACCCTCAAGTTCTATCCATGTTGCTACAAATGGCCAGATTTCATTCTTTCTCATTTCCATGGAGTATTCCATTGTATAGATAAACCACATCTTCTTGATCCATTTATTTCTATCATTTTATTTTGTACTTTCTATTTTTCCCAAAATTTGTGATTTTTTTCTCTTTCATGTCTTCTTTTCTTCCCCCTTTCGCTTTCCAGTATTTTTTCCTGTAACAACTTTGGAATGTAAATATTCAGTTATTCTTTTTTAGTAATTATTTTGATATTTTGATATGCATACCTAGCAAAGTCTAACAGTAATCAGTATCTTTACCCTCTACCCAACAACACAATCAACAATTACTAGGAGAAAGTAAATTTCAATCATTTCCTCCTAGTTTTCAACTATTGTAGTCCAAACATTTAGCTCCTTGTTGCTTTGTTTCTACCCCACAAATTGGACATTATTATTGATTTATGTAGATGAACTTATATACATTTTGTCCTTCAGGAATTTTAATTAGATACATGTTGGCCCTTAAATTCAATTTCCATGTGTATCAGCCTTACTTATATTTTCCATCTACTTGTCACTACCCTCTGTGTTTTGTAGGATTTTTAAAGATCTATATCACAGTTCACTAATTTTCTATTTACTTGCTTTTATTACCCTATGTAACACTTTCATTAAGCTTTAAATGCATTTATTGTGGTTTTCAATTCTACAATTTCTAGAAGCTAGTGCTTTTTAATTACCTGGCTTAACAACCTTGTAGCCTAAACTTAGAGTTCCTTTCTGAGAGTCTAATGTTTATTCCTACTTACTTTTTGTGCTCTTCCCCAGAATGCAATAGGCCTAACACCTTCTACTACTTCTACTTCCATTAGTTTATCCCCTAATACCAGTGTGTGGTCTCACAGTCTGTACTTATTAGCTTACAAGCAACCCTGAATGATGATTCTAGACAATATCACAATGATACGCAAATGAGATGTATACTTGGCCTAACAGCTACTAAGACTTACTTCAAAGTTGTTATATTAAAAACAGTAAGATATCCATGCAAAAAGAAATTGACCTCAAGACCATAATTTCTATAAGACAGACTCATATCTCAGAATTATTATCATAAAATAAAGATGGCATCACAAATCAGACTATTTAGTAAATGATGATAACTGCTCATAGTGGAGGAAAATCCATCCCTACTACTACATATAAAGACGGAATCTAGATGTATTAAAGAAATAAAGCCACAGAAACCATAAAGGCAGAAGATAATGTGTCCTAGGGTTAGGGAGGAACTTCTTAAACAAAATTCCGAAAGTATCACTAATGCATTTAATCACATCAAATTAAGAATTTCTGTGAATAAAGTTAATAAAAAGATGTTGCAGAGATATAATATTTGCCATGTCTAAGGCCACAAGGAAATTATTATCTGGGATATATAAGGAACTCATATGCACATGAAGAAAGTTATAAGAATCTCAAATTTTAAAGATGAGTAAAGTATATTTGAGTCAATTCATAGCCAAAGAAACCCACAGGTTTAACAACGTGTATGATTGTGGTCCAAAGTCATTAGTCATCAGAGAAATGCAATTTAAAACAACAACAACAAAAAAATAGATATTACCATAGGCCCCCATCAGATCCTTAATACAAAGAACTCAGTGACAAAAACAAGAAACTCAATACCATGTATGTAAATTAAAACTACATGAAATAAAATATATGTTGGAAAGTTGAAAATAAGGAGTTGACAAGAGGCCTTGCAAAAACCAATGAGCACCAGATGACGAGAACTGCAAAGGATTACTAAGGAACCCTTGCATCATTAGTATAAAGTAAAACTATAGTGCACAGATGAAATTATACTATTGTCATCTTGGATTCCCAATTTCATGGGAAATGCCTGATTTCGTCCTATTCCCAAGATACCCAGCTTGGAAACACCATCATCTAAGTTCTGCTTCCCTGGGAATCTCCTGGTTCCCCATAGGCCTCGTCATTTTTCTGCAGGCTGAGAATAGGATAGATCTTTACTCTTTTTTAAAAAAACATTTCATTTATTTTTGCAAGACAGAAGGAGAGACAGAGCATGAGCAGAGAAGGGGCAGAGAGAGAGGGAGACACAGAATTTGAAGCAGGTTCCAGGCTCTGAGCTGTCAGCACAGAGCCCAACGTGAGGCTCAAACTCATGAACCTTGAGATCGTGACCCGAGCTGAAGTTGGACACTTAACATACTGAGCCACCCAGGTGCCCCATCTTTTTACTCTTTATTTATAATCTTCTAAAAATGTAGCACCAGAATAAACTAGTGATGAGGATATGTGTGTATATATTTTTTTTTCCTCTCATTTTCTTGTATCCTTTATTCTATCCATTCACTCAGAAGAATTCATTGCTTTAGGAAGGGACAATATAGCAGAGAAGCAGAGAAAACCTTTTTGGTGTCAAAAGTACAACTATGAAGTACATAAATTCCAGGCCATAAAACATCTACTTGGAAAATTAGATAAAGAGCCAGTCCAGCCTGTCTTTAGACTGTAAGATGGTAAGGACCTCAGGGAGCAAGGAGAATCACAGCAGAAGCAGAGCAGAGATGGCTATGGGTTCCTGAGTAACATGTCCTGTAAGCAGGTCTCCCAAGAGGGAATCAGGAATCCAAGATCATACTCAATGGGGCCACTACTCCCAGGGGGAAAACCAGAGCCCTCAAGACTCCTGTCTTCCTATACCTCATCTTGTCTCCCCAGCATGGCACCAGGACAGGCCTGAGGCCACCTCATAGAACATCTTGCAATAATGCAGGAACAATGGCCCCTGCACCTGACAGTTGCTCTGAGAGCCCTTTCTAGATGGAAGGATATAAAGTCACCATGGGAATAGGGACCCCTTGGATGAGTCCATGTGGATGAAGAGTCTCTGTGGAGAAAGAATGATTTCAAGGAAAAGCCATCTCCATCCTTTCTTAAGTCTCTGCCCTAGAATTTTGACATAACCACACAAAAAGGAGGGACATTCCACTAAACCAGGGTTTCGCAATGTACTGCTACTTTGTCCCCCAGGAGACAGTTGGTGATGTCTGGAGACATGTATTGTTGCCACAACTAGGAAGTGCTACTGGAATCTGGTAGGCAGGGATCAGAGATGCTATGAAACATTCTATAGTGCACAGAACAGTCCTCCAAAACAAGAAATTACCCAGATCAAAATGTCAGTAGTGTCAAGGTTGAGAAACATTTCCTTAGACTGAGGTTAAATCTTGACCACTCAGCCTAAAAAGAAATGTATAATAGAAATCGTTCATTTATTCTAAAATAAAGAAAATTACACTTAGCTCCTAGAATTAAATGTGCAACCATCTCTTAATGCTAAGGAATAAATTATTTTTTAAGTATAAAAGAATCAACAGTCAATCAGTTTGCATTTAATGAAAAGGTTCTGAGAAGGGAAGAAACGTTTAAGTTGCTTTACAGTAAGATAAAGTGTCCCTCATAAGGAAGAGAGAGAAATGGAGGCATGAAAACAGATGCTAAAAGTTCATGACAAAACCTGAAGCAAATGAAAGGAGATAAGTCATCCGTGGAGCAGCGTGTAGAGAAAGAGTTGTTCATTGCCAAAGACAATTAGGAACATCAGCATTTTCCAGAAAGGTGAAATTGTATTTCTTCCAGACTCTACACTTAAATTTCACTAAGAATGAGGTGTGCGAACCCCAAGACCATCCACTTGCCAGGAAGAAAGCAGAAGGAAAACTTGGAAGCACCTTCAAAAATAGCATGAATGAAGGCAAAAGTCAGAAACAATAAAAGAAGGAGCAAGGGAGAAGGGAAGGAGGGAGGGAGAGGACAGAGGAACGGAGGAAGGGGAGGCATGGGAGTGAGGAGAGAAAGAATGAGCTAGAAACAATTGCAAGGGGTAATAAATAAATTATTCTTAGGTTAATGACATCCCCAAGTGTTCCATTTTTATGGGAAAGCAAATAACTATGAGGTATCACCAACATAAACACTGATTAAAGAAGATGAAATGTCTTGAGATGAAATGTCATAACAGTACATGGTGTCAGTTTGCGGTGTTCTCAAAATGTTAATGACCTCCAGCTTCAGCTGCTTCCATTCCCAGGGATCTCAGGGGAGAGAAGCCCCGCTCCCAGGAGGAGCTCAGACCTGGTCTCATCTCCTCCCTGTTAATAGATAAAATTTCATTGAAAATGATCTGGTGACATTTGGCCATAATTCAGAAGGGACTACATTTTTAAAAAAAGAATTTTTCTTTTATCAGTAAGTACTTGAGTTTATCTTACCATTTCAATAATGTTCCAGACCTGATTCAGTCAGTCTTCAATACTCTTTGGAATAAGTTTTCTATTCTCCTAACAGTGACATTTCCCCAGCAACGGGAGCATCTGCAGGAAACTTAGGAAGTGAGAGTTCGTCATTTTACAAACTAATTCTGAAAAATAAAAAAAGCGTGGGTCAGGCTGAATTTTAACTATTTTACTAGGACTGAGCCCAGAATTCTTCTTTAAGTGTTAGAATATAGTCTCAGTGCCCCTCATGCTGTGCCCCTCATTTATTTTACTAAAAATCATTAGAACCTTCAATGTCCACCATTATTTTTGCCTCCAAGCCAAAAAAAAAAAAAAAAAGTGGATTATTACCCTGTGGTCACTTAATGGATGAGTCATTCTCTCCCACCTATTCTACTGACCCGGTTTTCTCTCACACAGCCAGAACATGTGCTTTCCATCTCACTGGCGACTTTCGAACATGTGAACCCCAGTATACATGTATCTGTTGCCTTTGAGCTTCTGCAATGCATAAATGCATACCGATGGTTTTGGCTGGTGCAATTTTGTCTGCATTTGTTCAATGAATGCTTATTGAGCCTTTATTAAACACAAACCCCCTCAGTTCCCTCTCCCAAAACATGTCTAATATCAGGAGTGACAGGAAGAACAATAAGTGCCACTTCTCCTGTCCAATCAGAGTCCTCAGTAAGTATAAGGAATAAGATCAGTCTTTCAGCTGGAGATACCAGAGAAAACCTCAGGAGGGTTACACAAAAGGAATTTTGTTAATTTTAACAGAACGCTGACATTCTATCTGCCCTAAGTAGCCACTAGGTATATTTAAATTTAACTTGACTTAAATTTATATTAAGTATACTGAAATAGGGGCCAGCCTGGGTGGCTCCATCAGTTAAGTGTCCAACTCTTGATTTTGGATCAGGTCGTGATCTCACGGTTCGTGAGATCGAGCCCCATGTTGAGCTCTGCACTGACAGCACAGAGCCTGCTTGAGATTCTCCCTCTCTGCTTCTCCTGTCCCCTCTCAAAATAAATAAATAAATCTTTTAAAAAAGTATACTGAAATAAAATTTAAAATTCAATCACACTAGCCACGTTTTAAGTGTTCAATAACCATGTGTAGTTAGTGGCTACCATATTGGACAGTTCCATCACTGTGGCAAGCTGAAGAAATAGGATAATTACACATGAGAAACTCCTGCTATTGTATAGGTGGTTAGAGATCAGGAAACACTCCACATTTGCTGAAACATAGGGTGGGAAAAAATAGTAGTGGAAGATAAGACTGGAAAAGAAGTTTGAAACCAAATTGGAGTGAGTCTTGAATACATTCATCTGGAATCAAAGCTTTTTTGGAGCAGAGAACTGAGATTTAGAGTTAATTTGGTAATGTGTAAAATGATGATCTGAGAAAGCAAGCAGACATGGAGTCCTCAGCTATGGCTGCAGATTAGAATGTGGAGGAAATTTCTTACCCCAAATCCAGGCCACATCCCAGATGAATTAAATCAGAATTACTGGGGGTGAGTCTCAGGCATCAGTGGTTTTTAAATCTCCCCAGGTGATTTCAATATGCAGGTGTTTAGGGTCAGCCACTGTTAACTATGTGCATGACCTCATTTCTCCCACTTGTGCCATTAATACCCTCTTTCCTCTGATGAACTCCCTTCTCCTTAGACTTTCTCCTGGTGAAGCTGCCAATCACACTAAGCTGATTCCCTGGCCACAAGATGTGGCCTAGGAACCAAATATTGGCAAATCACAATATGTTAGTATTTCTGGCTGTGGTGATTGTCTCAGATTTAGACTACAATCCAAGTCAGGCAAATGAAAACTTGTTCTGAGATTTGGCATACATATTCCTAGTAAGAAGGCTCTCTATTTAATGCAGGAGGCTACTAACTTGGTATGGCATTAGCTTGAATATCTCTGGGAATGTGTTTCTCTCATCGCCACCGACCCAGCAGTGCAGGGAAGAAAGCCACCCACACAAGCAGATCACAAAATTATCAGGTACAAGTACAGTTGAGAGATTTGAGGGTGGAGGTGCCAGTAAAGGGAGACAAAGAAGACCTGACAATATATTTTAGGTTCCTGGTGGGATCCCTGGGGCCTCAGTCATATGAATCAAGCAATGATTCTGATTATTTTCTTCTGCTTAAATTTGAGATGGGCTTGAGTCATCATTTTTAATGGTAAAAAAATATAGAGATATAGAATGTGGCTTTATCAAACATATCTGACCATTTTAGAATACGTTTTAACTTCTGGAACACTAACCTTTTTTTTCCCAAAAGAGCTACAGAGGATAACTGAAATGCGAGGGTCCTCCCTGAGTATGATAACCATGGCAAGCTTGTTTGTAAACTAAGAGCAAAAAATGATGAGTTGACTGAAGCTAAGAGAACCAAAGAGGGAGAATGTGTGAGAGCACTGTGGTACCTAAAATGTGGGTGGGTGGGGCGCGTAGGTGGTTCAACCAGTTAAGACTCAAGTTCAGCTCAGGTCATGATCTCAGGGTTCCTGAGTTCCAGCCCCATGTCAGGCTCACTGCTAACAGTTCAGAGCCTGCTTGAGATTCTCTTTCTCTCTTTCTCTGCTCCTCCCTCGTTCACTCTCTCACTCTCTCAAAATAAATAAATAAACTTTTAAAACAAACAAACAAACAAACAAATAAAAAAAAGGGGTTCTGTCATCTCCTATTTCTGACCACAATGCCTTGAGTTGTATATAAACATACCCTCTATCCATGTTCGTGGCACAGAAAAGTTTTCCACTTTAGATTGCTCCTTTCTCAGTAACTCCATGGAACATGTATATTAAAACAAACCCAGGGCCACTGCCAATTCAAAGGGGCCTTCTCTCCACATGATGAGCGTGAAGGGCTCAAATGGCCAACTTTTAGTCAAAGATTGGGAGCACAGACAAAAATTTCTATAGCGCATGCACACTCGTACCTAGTTCACTGTCCCCAAAGACCTCCTTTTGCATCTGTTTAATTGACCAGGATTAGAGATCACAGCCAGTTCTTGATCTCTTTCCACCTAGAAAGCACAACCAACAACTTACTCATCTTTTTTGCCCAACCATCCCCAGGTATGGATTAATAGGGGCTTAATGTGTTCTGTGTTAATGAATCATGAGGAGAGGCCAGTGAAGCTGACAATGTATCAGAAGCAAGAAACATAATTGATTGGATGAGCAAAATAGATGGGGATTAGATCTGCTCACAGGAAGGGGAAATAAGGCTTTGATCAAAGAAGAAAATATCCGGTCATGTCGGCTAGGCATTGTTTGAACTCCTGAAATCCTTCCACTGCTGATATTTCCTATCATTTCTACTTGGGGACCCAACCTTTACCTTATACCACCTCAGGCATTTTATGTAACTTAGCTCAGGCAGTTTTCAGATGCCAGTCTTTATAGGATGTGCTCTGTATTTTAAAGAAATTTTACACTATATTTCCATTTATAGCATTTTAAACTGTAGGCTTCTATGACATATGATGAAGAGAAATCTCTTCCCTGATAGGAGTTTGCTTAAGATGCCCCTTTATAAGGCCTCTTCCACTTCTAATAGTGAATGACTATATTTAGAAGATGTTGGGTCAGTGCAGGAAAAAGTCTGATAAGATCTTCAAAGTCAAAAGCAGAGAATAAAGAGAATATAGGAAATTTTGCTCTACCATTTCCATAATCAGGGGGGGAAAGCGCTTTAGACAAATCCCTTTGGATTTGCTAAATAAACAATATTTGTGGATAAGAAAATCACAAGACCTATGGCATTTGAAGAGTTCAGTTGTCTCAGTATTCACCGTGTCAGTCATACAATGACACCTGGTTTTCACCAAGTTTCATGGGGTCCAGATCACCTGCAAAGATGAAGTGAAGGCTGTGTATACTTGATCATAAGAATCTCTTGCATTTTCCAAAATTGGGCTGGTTTTGTCAAAAGTCATAGGGATTTTGATACCCTCCTTGTGAGAAATATCTTCCCATTTCATCAATTCATTCATTGGGAGGGGGAAAGTACCTTACCCTAAACTGTGGACTTCAAATCTTAAAGTCAATAGATGTCTATAGGAAAATTAGATAAAGATCTCACAGGTGGGTAGGAGAAAAGAGTCCTTTGAGTTTGTTTTCTATCTTCCATCCCAAATCCTAGAGATTCCAGTGTGTAAATTTTGCAAACTACTCTACCAAATTACTTTCTTCATTGGCTGACAGGTACAGCAGCCCTCAAAGTTGTGCAGCGTAGCAGACCAGTCTGAATGGCCTGAACCAGCAATAAATTTGTTAGAACGAGGAAGTTTTTGTATCTTCCTGAGTCTCCTATAAAAATGCAAATGTTCCTGGGAGGAGAAACATCTTAAGCAATCATAAGAGATTATTTTATCAACCCAATTTGCAGCTTGGAAGCAGAGCTGACAGCAAAGCCCTGTAGGACTGGGCACAGATAACTGAGGGAAAGGAACTGAAATAGATGTAACCAAGGAAAAACTTGACTTCCCGAGCAAACTGAACAGGCTACCAACAATTTTGAAATAAAGATAACTATAGAAGGGGGCCCGGGTGGCTCAGTCAGTGAAGCATCCAACTTTGGCTCAGGTCATGATCTCACAGTACGTGGGTTTGAACCCTGTGTTGGGCTCTGTGTTGACAGCTCAGAGCCTGGAGCCTGCCTCAGATTCTGGTTTGTTTTTTGTTTTTTCTCTCTCTCTCCCTCTACCTGTCCCTTTATCCCCCCCCCAAAATAAATAAACAACCCAAAAATGATAAGTATAAAATGGCTAACATTTGAATGTATCTTGAGTGCCAGATATTCTTCCAAATCTCACTTTATGTATCAGCTCATATTGTGTATTCCTTTATTCCTTTATATATCAACCACAGCCACATGGTGAAAGTAATATTTTTTAGGGTTTATTATTTATTTACTTTGAGAGAGAGTATGAGTAAGGGAGAGGCAAAGAGAGAGGAAGAGAGAGAGAATCCCAAGCTGAGTCTGCACTGTCAGTGCGGAGCCAGACGTGGGGCTTGAACTCATGAACCACAGATCATGACCTGGGCGAAAACCAAAAGCTGGGCTTAACCAACTGAGC